TGGCCACAGTGGGGATGGTGGGAAGAGGAGAGACCGGCAGGTTTGGGAGACAGGGTTCAGCGTGATCGGTCAACACAGGCTGAGACAGGCCTAGTTTCTTTTAGGTTCAGGCAGTGATGGTGCCCCTTTTGCTTTAGTGGAAGTGATCCCACTTCCTAGGATGGAGAGCACGGGAAGAGACATGGTTTTGCTGGGGGTAGGGACTTCTGGAGGTGTGCGTGTGAGGTACCTGTGGGACAGTTAAGGGGCGGGTCAGTCTGGAGCTCAGAGAACTCTAGGCTGGTGGCCCAGAATAAGGAGACCCAAGCACAGAGATGCTGCTTGAGCTCCTGGGAGTGGCTGAGACAGTCCAGGGAGAGAGTAGGATTGCCAGAGAAGGCAGCTTAGGACAGAGCTTGGAGGCATGCCAAAGTGTTAGGGACAGGAGAGGAAGACGAGCCTGAGAAGGAGCAGTCCCACTGTCACACATGCTCAAGCCGAGGGAAGCGCGTGTCAAGGAGGGAGAGATCACTAGGCCTCGGGTGCCCTGTAAGGTCCGATCAAGTCAGGCCTGAAAAGTTTGGGATTTAGCAACACGAAGGCCGTTAGTGACCCAAAAAAAAGCAGCTTTTTTTTTTTTTTTTTTTTTTTTGCTGGTGAGGTCCATTTGGCCACATTGCTCCCTGACATTCTGGATTTAAAAGCAGTGCCCTTCTGGGTCAAGAAGAGTCCGTCACCACTGTCTGGTCTTAGCAGTGAGTAAAAGTGAATTCAAGTCACCAGAGTCTGGAAGGCCCTGGTCGCACTGCTCACTCCTCGGAGGGGTAGCCTGGGACGTCCCCGCCCTCACTAATGGCACAGCCCTTTCAGCTGCTGAGGACAGTCACTCTGTCGCCCTCTGAGGAGGACTGACAGCTGAGGAAAGAAGCTAGAAACTTAGACAGCGGTAGTTGGATCCTAAGGGCTCACAGTTAAGTCGACCAGTTGCCGTACAGCCAGGCTGCGAGTGGCAAAGGGGAGTGGCCATCGTGGGAACCGAGAGAGACAGCAGGGACAGGGGTGTGGCTGCGGACAAGGCTGGGAACGTCAACAGCAGGATTTCTGAATCCCCGGCCATGAATGGCTTCTGTTGCATCTCCCTAGAGATAGGGAGCGACTTAGAGCTGTGACCCACTGAGATGAAGAATTGGGTTGTATCATCTTGTCTTGGAGTCTGGGGGCGGGGGGGCGGGGGGCGGGTGGTAATCAAAGGAGCAAAGACTCTGAATCTGACCCAGTTTTGAATCCAGGGGTGATTCCTTACCTACTAGGCAGGTAACCTTGGACAAGTGACTCGGAACCTCTCTGAGCCTCAGGTGATTCATTTGTGAAATTCAGTTTATGTGCCTGTGTCAAAATTAGATGAATGTATGTGGAACCGTGGCACGAAGAAGACATGGAATAAACAACCACTACTGTTATCTTTCTTACCATTTTTAGGAGCACCGTCGTCAGCATTGTGTTTATGTCGCTGTTACTCATTACAGGGCACTTTCACATGTTCTCACTGAAGTGACTAGAGCTCTTCAGAAGTGGCTTCAGGTCGTGAGCTCTCCACCCTCGAGGATGTGTCAGGGGCCACCTGGCAGGGACACTGTTGGAAAGTGGCTGAACTGGCTGGGAGGCTGGCTTACACGAGGTGGTTTTTAAGCCGCTGCTTTCGGTTTTATTTGTGTTTTAATTGGATGAAGCAGCCTGATGTCCTCTCAGGTTCATTCCAAGGAGCATTTGTATTCATTTAAGTTCGTGGGCACTGAGCAAAGGCAAGCCAGACGTGGCTGGCCTTGGGGACTCTGCCTCCCTCTGCCTCCCCAGCTCTTCAGAACTTTCAGGGCTTACCTTAGCCCCGGTCGATGAGAACTTTTTCATGTAAAAAAAATTTTTTTTAAAGAATCCTTTTATATGGAAGACAGTATTTTTTTTTTTAAATATCACATTGGTCCTAAATGTCTTGGCAGCAGATACTACAGAACATTTGGATTTATATTTTCTCTCTCATAGAATAAAACCTTCAGTGCCACTACCTCAAGAGTCCTGCAAGTTCATATTATGTAAATACATGTAATAAAATATTTACTTAGGGTTTCCACAAAAGAAGGTCCAAAGGAGAGAATAAGAGAGCTTCTCTTTGCTGGTCTTAGAGGCTCTGATGGGAATTCTGAGTGAAATTTAAGCCTCTGAAATATGTTTTGATTGGCCTCCTTCATGTTTTATCTCCTGTAATGAACTCTTTGTCAGTTTGTCAATTTTGACTAAGGACAGAAAGTTCATGTGTAGTAACAACACACAGACCGAATTTAAAATTATGGTTTATATCATGATGTAATAATCCTCTCTTTTCCTTTAGTCAATATTTACCTGTTAGGCCAATATATTATAATTTTAACTTCAAAAGAAGACACTTTATTTTACCTTCCCCAAGTGTTGGTTTTAGATACTTGTAATATCAAAATTGGAAGTTGAGCCGTCTGAGGCTCTTGGCCACATTGTCTTAGGGTTGAGTTCCTCGATCATCGCAGGGCAGGTGTCCCTGCTCCCAGTGACCCAACCACTGTGAACTCTGAGCTACGCTGGTTTCTCTCTGCTTTCCAGAAGGCCCCTCTCCTCTGTGGGAAGTGGGCCTGTTATCCCACAGCCTCCGAGATCTCTTAGACAGACTTCGGTTTTCCCCAGTGTATTACTGTTACAGGACTAGGCAGAAAAAACCACTGAATGCCCTGTAGGAGGATAGTCCCTGTAGATGAGGAATGGGGAATCTTAAATTCTGTTCTGTCCCTGAACCCCTTATTTTAACCACCCCATGCTTAAAGAATTTTCCATTAAAAAAAAAAAAACTGAGGGAAGAAGGGTCTCCCAAAGAAGAAGGAATAGGAGGATAATAAATGGCTATAAAATTTGCAGATAAAATGTGTGATACTTTAGGACTGACTGTGTAGGCAGCCAGGAGCAAGTAGTGATGTGCTCAGAAGTTCTTCTGAGTCAACTTGGGTGTCAGTCAGGACTCTTCCTGTGAGTCATAACTGAAAAGGAACTGATTGATTCATGAACTGCCAAGTCCATAGGTAGACTAGTTTCAAGTTCAGCTGGATCCTGGAGTTCAAACAAGGCCATCATGATTCTCCCTTTATTTCCTAGACCTATTAATCTCTATATTGGCATGATTGTTTGGCAAAGATGTTTCCTTGGCAGCTCCTGACTTATGCCACTCCTTACTGTCCGGGGTCCCAGCAGAGAGATCCTCTTTCCTGAAGTTACTATGAACAAGGATGGGGTATAGTGGAATTACATCAAGCATATATTTAAAGATTTTATTTATTTGTTTTAAAGAGAAGCATGCGTGCGAGTGGGGGAAGGAGTAGAGGGTGGGGGAGGCAGAGGGAGAAGGGGAGAGAATCTAAAGCATTCTCCACGCTCAGAGTGGAGCCCGACGTGGGGCTCCATCTCACGACAAGATCATGACCCAAGCTGAAACCAAGAGTTGGATGCTCAATCGACTGAGCCATCCAGGCACCCCAAGCATATATTTAAATTTGAGCAAATTCACCTTTATGTTGATATCATCAGTGTACCTCTGTCTGCCCACGATGCGCTCGTCATTTTGTACCCCTACTTTACATATGTATTCTTTTTTGTATTCCGTCCACTCTGTTCACTCTCATATATGTATGTAAGTGTGTATGTGTGTTTGTGTATAATCATATATGCTGTATTTGAGAGCTGGTTTATGGGATGTTCAAGAGTAAATCTTAAATTTATAACCTAACCACCCCCTCAACCCCGCTTTAAGTGTAATTCCACCAGCCTGCATCACGCGCCCATCTCTTTGGTAGAACTGGTAGGCAGGGCCCACTCCACCAGAAAGGGACAGGGCAGTTCTGTAAGGGGAGAAAAGTAGGTCTTTTACCAGAAAGGAAAAGACAATAGGCAAACAAACCAATTATTAATTCATTCACTCAACAGGTATTTGTTGAGTGCCTATTATTTGTCTGGCATTCTTCTAGGTACTGGGCCTAGACCAGTGAACTTTACACAAAAGGTTCTGCCTTCCTGGAGCTTACATTGTAGGGAGAGAGGCAGACAGTAAATATGTTAGCCAATAAAAATACACTGTGATATCTGGCAGAGATGAGTGCTCTGAAGAAAAGACCATGGTAATCATCTTCATTTATGGATTAGGTGCTTTGACAGTGCAGGTAGAAGAAACAGAGGGCAGAGAATCTCCTCTTGTTCCCAGATTCTCTTTGAATTGATCCTTATAAGGTAAGAAGGATTTTGATAGGCAGGTCCTGTTGAGATGATCCCAAACATAAGAAAAAACCATGAGCCAAGCAAACATGTCAGTGGGATGAGGTAAGGTATGTTCTGGGAGTGGAAAGAGGTTTCCCATGATGGCTGCATGCAGACATGTGGAAGGGGGAGCTGGAAGGCTGGCAAGGCACGTGGCTTACAGGCTAAGGAGTGGCATCACCAGGTCCATGGCTGAGAAAATGCCAGGCCACAATGTGCGGGGCTAAGTAAGAAGGCAGAATCAAGGTAGGAAGGCCAGGTATAGGGCTCAACATAAAGGCTGTGCTCGGAATGGACAGGAAGAGTAGAGACTTCAGAGGCAGTGTCCGCTGTATTCGGGGACTCCCTCATTTCTAGTGCCCTGAAAGGGCTCATTCACCATCCAAAATGAGCCTGCTTTGGCAAGTCTGCTGATGTTTACAAATACAAGAGGACTTTAGAAACAGGAAACATCTTGCAAAGATGGTTAATGTTGTTTCTTGAGGATAAAAATCTCACCATCTGCTAGTATATAGTGAGGAAAGTAACCACGCAAATCACGGGGGGCAGGTGGAATCCCCAGCAAGACTGGAAACGGTGACCCGCACCTCAAGTCCCGGGGCCTCCGAGAGTGCCACGCAGTCTCGGGAGGGATTCCTGGGAGCGATGGCCTTGCCTTCTGCACCACACTGATCAGCCTCCTTCTGCATTTACAGGCAACTTTGAAGTGGGGGTTCACATTGCAGATGTCAGCTATTTTGTTCCCGAGGGATCCCCCCTGGATAAAGTGGCTGCTGAGAGAGCTACAAGCGTCTACTTGGTTCAGAAGGTAAGTAAGTATCAGTCTCCAGTTTCTTGGATTGAAGGACATCCTATTTGATCTGCTTCCTTTGTTTGTCTCTTTTTTTACCAAAAAAGAAAAAAAAAAAAGTCATGCGGAACAGCAATCTTGTCTGAACATCTTTTCTTACATCCAGTGAGATCTTTTAAAAAAATGGTTTTGTCTCCCTACAATGTAAGCTCCAGCAAGTGTTTCCCCTCGGTGGTTGCATGTTTTCCTTACATATTCAAGAGGAACCATACCATGGCAAGACACAGGGACCTGTCTCAGGTTTCAGACTGGCCCTGCCACCTGAGTAACTCAGACAGGTGCTCATGTTCAGAAAGAAATGAGGGAAAGTAACTGCTTTCAAGCTATTGTTCCAAAGCAGGGCTCAGCAAACTCGGCCCACACCAGCCAGTTTTTATGAAGTGTTTTTGCAACACAGCCACGTGCTGTAATGTGGCATTTTAATGTCTATGGCATTGTCACACTATGACAGAATGGAATGAAATGCCTTTTGAGAAAAAGTTTCGACCCCTGTTCGAATCTGCTCCTGCCTTGCCCTCTACAAGATAACCTGGAATCTCAGAGATGGAAAAGGATTTCACCAGAGAAGATCTATAGATGACAAATACACATGTGAAAAGATGCTCCACATCGTACGTTATCAGGGAAATGTAAATTAAAATAACAGCGTGTCCCACCCAAAAAAACAGGAACTCTTGGGTACCCATCAACTGTAGCTCGAACAAGTCAGTCGTGTGGGTTCACACCATAGGACTAGAGAGCCCAAGTGTGGGGGGGACTGCCCGTTTTTCCTCATCTGGGTCCTGATTACATGAGCTTTCACTTAGTGAAAAGGTACAGACTTTCCCTTTATGACTTGTGCACTGGTGTGTGTGTGTATTATACTTAAATAAAAATGTTTTCATTTTGAAGCTTTTTGGGCGATGACTTTCGCTCCACTCTGGCTCCTTTTAGTGTAGGTACCCGGCCTGTGCAGACAAAGGAACAACTCAAAAGCCAGGCCCCTCACTCACAGCTTGGCTCTCCTGAGAACAGGGCTCTGATATTTGTACATTGTTTACACTTAATATAGCCTCAGGTTAAAGATATCCCGTCCATACCTCCTGCCCCAAAAATGGAGTTGGCCAACTCTGGCCTTTGCCTGGCCCAAGGCCTCTGAAGGAAGGGAGATCAGAATTCCAAAATCCCTTAAATCTACAAAACTGTGATGTTATGATGGAAAGAGAAACAGAAGTGACAATCTCTTAGACTTTCAAGACCACAGAAAGTGAATAAATGTGAATTGTTCTCCCCATGTAGAAAAGTTTAACACTGTTCTTCAGATTCAGATATTTAAGAATTCTAGACACAGTTAGAGGTTCTTCTAAGCAGGTGGTTTTCTCTTATCTAGCTGTTGCATTCTCCTTTTATAACCAGGAATTACGTTTCAAAATCAGAAAATGGAAAAATAAAATCGGGTTAAAAAACGAAGCACATTTCCTTTCCTCTTCTCTTCTCTTTGTTTTCGTGATTGTCGCAGTTCTAGAATTTCTCTTCAGGACTGCAGAGTTGGGGCTCTGCTCCTGAGCTCTGAAAAGTGCAGAGCTGGATGGAGGAAGGGCCCGTGTGCCCCCGAGTGGCTGTGGGCCCCTGCTGCCCGCCTCGGCCCCCAGCTTGGCTGGAGCGAGTGACGCCAACCCACAACCTTGGACAGCAGCAGCTGTGCATTCTGGTTCCTTTGAACCAGGGCTCTGACCTTTCTTCCTACTCATTTTTGTTTCTTAAAGGACTGTGGCCAGGAACTTTGCTGTTTTCACTTTACTTTGCCTATAAAGGTCTTCTTAAAAGCTGGATGAGCTGCTTACCTCTTCCTCCAGATTCCCTGCTTTCTCATTTGGCAGAATCATTTCTCCCAACTTGATCAGATGGGGGAAGGCGTGTGTGCGTTGGGGGTGGGGGGCCCGGTGGTTTCCCACATAGAGGGAATGTGGCACCGATTTCTTTTCATTCAGTGCTACTGGCTTATAAGTAGCTGATACCAGAATTACAGTCAAAGCTTGATTTGGGGAATTATCCCATAGATCAGGACTATACAATAATATACAAATTTGGACCCGATGTTGGGTCCAAATTCCGTTTTACTGTCTTTAAGATGAAATTCTTTCTGTTGGGATTTTACTCACAGTAATAAGTATTTGGTTATTCTCATTAACAACAGAGTATACTCAGGAGGAAAGATAAATTGAAATATTGTCCATTTAATTCCCATGAAAAGGACACACTCTTTCTTTTTGACAAAAATTAGGCATCTGTTCATTTAACTGACTGAGGCACCCAGGTGCACCTAGGCATCTGTTCGTTAAGGGGACAAGTATCTACCTGAGTTTAGGCCTGGCCTTCTCAGAAGGATGTGACATCCACCCAGTAAATGTCTCCTGTCTTCCCTGAGAGGGAAATACGATGAAATTGTAAAATGTAAGGTAATTTTAAAAAAATAAGCGAATTAAGTTTTGAAAGTAAAAGAAACCCTAAACAGTTGAAACCTAAAGCTAAATTGTCTGCCTGTTGGCCCCAGCACCCGTGTTATTTTAGGTGTGAAACAGCTCAAATGAAAGTTTGCCCATAAATCTCTACGATATTTTATTGGTACTGCTTTATAATAGAGATCAAAGATTGGGATTGGAAGCCTGTCTTAACGTGGAGTCCAAAGAGTTTTAAGATGTTCCTTTCTGACCCCAGCAGGTTGTCAGAGTGTTGATGTTTTGTTAATGTCCAACTGTGTAGCAAGGAGTTGATCAAATTCAGAATTCATGGAAGTGTTGATATGAAAAAGAAAACTCTTTAAACAGAGATATTGGCTGGCAAATGAATGATCTGTTTCCTTTTAAGTTGTTTCAGTGTGCGAAGGGAGAGCTAGCTATACCTTATTGTTAAAACCTTGAAGTCCTCAGAGAAAGGGAGAAAAACTCCCTAAGTTCTCAGGCTCTGACAGCCAATGGCCTCTGAGGGTGTGAGGGAGTTTGTGAGCCAGTGAAGGCCTGGGCTGAAAGAGGCAGAGGAGGCCCCTGCTGCAGCTCTGGGGTGGGTCGCTGACATCTGGCTCCCCTGAGCTTTGGAAACCGCCCCCCCACCCACCCCCTGTCGCTGCTAGTCCCTCCTGATCCTCTTTGCACGGATGATTGATTCTTCCCCTCTGTGGCCCTTTCCGTTGGTCACAGGGCTGTCCTGGCTAACCCGTTGCTGAACTTGGCCAGCCTGCCCGCTGTGGCTTTAGCAGATGTTTCTGCTCTCTGAGGCTAATATAAGATTTTATAGTCTTGTTGGTACCCCCACCCAGCTGCCTTGGGCAGTGGCGTATTTACCTAAATGATCAGTTTCTCTCAACTCTCCCAAGCCCTAGTCCAGAATGCTTAGAAAGTCGGTGTCCTGTCACCATGTCCCTTTTTTCCATGACCAGCTTTTAAGCCGTGCCCTGACCCAACTTTGATGCTGGCCCGAAACATGCTTTAGGAGATGAAGCTCCCTTTAAGCCCCTTTCCTTTCTTCTCTTGCTGCCTGAAGGGCTGCCCGTCTTCATCCAGTTCCTATTTGTTGAGGACCAGCTGTGTGCCAGGTGGCAGGTGTGTAAAGATGAGAGAGATGCTGATCTTGCCCCGGGGAAGTCCGAGGAGGTGGGCACGTAACAAACACAGTACACGGGGCCACCTGCAGTTATAGCAGTGCTCCCAAGGTGAGGGCGTATTCCGGAGGAGAGAGAAGTTGTAGCTGCCTGGGTTGGCGGTAAGAGAGGAGCTTCCACAAGAGCCGCAAGATGGCTTCACAAAGCAGTGGATTTTTGAGCAGTGTTTCAAATTTTGAGTTGAAAATTTCTAGGTAGACACGTGAGTGGAGAGGGCATTCCAGGCAGTGGCTCAAAAAAGCATGGAACATTCAAGGAACCATTTGTAGTTTGGAATGGCTGGGGTATAAATTGCAGGAGGAGGCAAAAGATGAAGTTACAAAGAGAGGCCTAGAGTGGCAAGCTAAGGAGCGTGGACTTCATCTTGAGGACAAGTAGGGAAGGGACATGGTCTCCTTTGTCTCAAGTAGAAAATCACCTTAGCAACCATGTGGTTGAAGAATAGTGAGGCCAGAGGGAGGAAAATTGTTATCAGTACCAGGGCCCTTTCCCTCAACCCTGGCCCCTTGAGGCTTTGAATAACCACCCCAAAATACACAGAGATTTTTTTTCTCACAGAATTTTAGGAGAGTTTATCCACAGGCTGGTGTCCAGCTGGACCCCAGGAGAACTAGAGCCATTGATGTCCTCAGCCTGGTGCTAAAATGAACATCCTGAGCAAGAAGCCCCCAGCTGCATCCCCTCCCTGTCTAGCAATCCATATCACATCACACAACAAAGAGTCTGACTAGGCAAATAGGGCAAGTTAGCTTCCCTCTGTTGTCTTTGCTTTCTCCTTGGAGATAGGGTCTGGAGGCCCTCTGCCAGCTTCTCACTGAGAGCTCTTGGCTCCTGTTGACCTTTGGCCGCAGATCATGGAGGGTCCAGACTTTACTGGAGACCTCTCCACTCCATTGAAGGTGTTTGGACCCTCCCTCAATTAGCAGGACAAGCAAAGAAATCACCTTGGGAATTCAGTTCATCGGCTATTGGAAAGATAAAGGCCATGTGTCCTACTGTAAATGTACTTGCAAATTATCATTGGGTGGAAAAGAGTAAGAAGATGAAGAAGTCTGGAGAATAATAAGGAAATCTGACCCAGAAAAATTTCTACTCCAGAACTCTGCTGCTGGTTTAGGAGACTATTAGAATATAACCCAAGAGAGATGAGTATGTCCATACTTGAAGATGGAGAGGAGAGAAGACTCATTTGAGAGAGCTTTAGTTGTAAAACCTACAGAACCTGGGAACTGATTGGATATAGCAGAAGGAGGAGAGTGGAGAAATCACAAAATAACACCCAGTTGTGTTCTGTGGGAGGGGTGTGTGTATGTGTATGTGG